ATGAAGTGCAGAAGAATCTGAATGCACTACAGTGCAAATGATGATAGATTTTTTCACGTTGAACAAAGAATAATAATAGGATAGGAATAAAAAAATTCAGTTATGAATGAACAGCTGTGGCTCAATATTCCATAACAGTAGAGAACAGGAATGATGATATTTTCATAATATCTGACACATTAACATGAATTTCAGATTCACAAAAAAGAATCAAGCAGAAGTCAAATTGTCATTTTACGTTTTAATTTCCAAAATTTGGTGCTGAAAACATGCGGTGACAATATTCTAAATGGGGAATTATGTTGATGATATGAACAATAGATTAATTGAATTACCGAGTGAACTGATTGAAAAATTGTATCACGGTGTTGGCAAGCACTTTTACCAGAGTATCACCAAACATTGAATTTCGGCAATTTACTCTTCCAATTATGTTCGAGTAGAAATTGGATTGTAATTATGATTGAAATCTTATTCAGTGAGCAGAGGAATTAGCATATGCGCAGATTATTTATTGCAATATAAATATTTCATAGTTAATAAATTGAGGCACCTCATTTTCATCAGTCGCACTGCTTTTTGCAATGACAATGATTATGAACAATGAATGGAAGAAAGGAATTCTGAGTCCGACGGTAAAAAAGGCAAAATGAACATTGCAGCCGGAATTGTGTTATAAATATGGTAAGAGAGCCCTTCAGCTTGACTAAGATAGTAATCAAAAGTCGAAACTATTGAAACTGATAATATGAAAATTTTAGAGTAGGTTTTATCTTTTATGTGAGCACTCATCAAGAGATTGTTAGAAATTAATAAATACGTGTTTCAGCCTCGTTACAAAATCCATCTCTAAGGGGGTGAATAGGGAATGAGTTATAGAAACTTTGAGGAAGGCTGCAGGTTTCCAAAAAAATCAGAACTGTCAATTTTTTCCCCAAATGTAAGATAATTCGGGAGTTTTCCAAAAATTCAAGACAATTATGAGGTTTTCTGAAGAACTTAAAGACAATCTATGGAGTTTTTGAAAATTACAAAGCATTTACAATATCTCTCAAATATTCGAGGATTGTTGAATAAATAATGGGAAAACAATTGATAGGAAAGGGCGGCATTTCGCAAATAAAACTGATTCGAAGCAGTCATGAAAGCCCGAATACTGCACTCTGATTAATTGAAATACGAAAGGAGGAAATAATTTGGTAATTCTTCGGATTTTCTCCACAATTCCACAAAAATTTTCAAGTTTCTTGAAAAAAAGTCATAAATTTCGAAAGATTATAGAAAATTTGAAAAAATTTCAGATGATTAGATGATTAAAGTTTAAAGTTTATGACATCGTCGAATAAAATTGTGAAAAAAATCATGAATGAAGCGAAGACACTTCGAATTAGCGAAAGAACATCAGAATTGACCCCATAATTTTTCTGGAAAAATAATTGGATACTTTTGTCAAGTTGTAAACGGAAATAAAGAGGAAGGCGAAGACAAAAAAATTATGGACTGTGAGAAATTTGATAATTGTTGTTTTGCACTCTGAATATAATTTTGATTACAATAGTAATTAAAATTTCATTCAATGAGGAAGGAAACTCAGAATTAGTGGATCACTTATTATAATATTGAAATTGAACAAGCAATGAACCGAGACGCATTGTTTTCATTAACTTTAACACTCAATAGACTAAAACGACGATAAATTATTAATTTTCGAAAGAAACAAAAAAAGCAAAGGCATAATAAATGGGCATCAACGTCGCGGCCGCTTGCGGCCGCGGCGGCGCTAGTTTACTATAAATAGAAGGATTGTGTATGAGGTTATGTTTCATCGGTTGTCCAGTATTATTAAGAATAATTAATTTAGAAGTGCAAAAGTAACACAGTTTTATGGGAAAATGAACTTTTCGAAGTTAGGGAGAAGATTAAAATAAAAAAAATAAAAATAAAAATCCTGTGCCCATAAGTTTCTGCATGCCCGAATAATGGCGTGTTATGTCGAAACACGAAAAAAAATTGAAGACAAAATTTTATGGATCAATTTCTAATACTCATCACAATTAGAATTCATGTGAAAAGTTTATTAGTGATCAATAATTGTTTTTTTAATTTTTGATTTTGTTTTTCCTTGTTATACTATCAACGACACAATTGGAGTTTATTTATACTACTTTAATAATTGAATTGTCAAGACTTAGGCAGATTTCAAATGCTTCGGAATAGCTAATTACGTTAGGCAGATGGTCAAACGCTGGATTAAAGGTGCATGGCCCTCTTTCAGCGAATTTCCATGATTTCTTCAAATTTCTGGCGAATTGTTGATCGGATTGACGCGAAAAAGTATACATTTTTTGCGCTTTATATCATCATTTAATGACTCACAAAATTTCGTTTAGCGTGCCACCATTTTCCTAAATTCCTCGGAAATTCAAAAACATTCAGAAAAAATTATTATAAAATACAAAAACGGTATATATTTTCCCCCTAATCAATAGTTTGTCTGAAGCCTAAAAAAAATCACGAAAATTTGTTGAAAGGGGGCAGTACATTCTTAATCACAGAATGGTTCGAGCCAACTAACTCAATCTTGAGGATGTTCATTATTTTTCCGAAAACCAAACTCTTTCATATTCAAGAGAAATTCTATAATTTTTTGAGTTTTGTGTTTATAATTTTTTGAATTTTTTCTTTTCTAAAAATTGGAAAGTTGATGGAAATGTCACATTTGACGACTGATATGTCAATGGAGTCAACAAAGTAACTAATGAATTCCTTGTGATTTACCATGGAATTTGTTGACTCGCCGGTTCGTGCACGTAAATCGGCAGTTCCGAAGGGCGAATCAACCTTTTCGGTGAAACTTCGCTACTGCACTCCACTGGTTTATCTGGAGATGTTGGCTGAGGCTTCGCCATTGGCACTGCAGCGCAGAGCCCACCCGGCATCAGGAATTTCTTGAAGAGCTTTTATTATTAAAAATTCAAATGTCAAAGTCTCTTAAATCTGACTTCGTGAGTTTCTGTTTCTGTTACATCACCGCAAATACTTATTTCTCCCATTACATAAAAGTAATTTTACAATGGAAAAATTCAAATGTACAGAACGAGGATAAATGTTGAACGATTAATATACTGAAGGAGGTTGGAGAATATTGATTATCGTGAAAAAAGACTTGATCATGAGCAATAATTATCCTACATTGACACTGAGTATTTATTTATGAAATGAAAAAAGATATTCCTTCTTTAACCTTTACCTTAATACTCTGCATGTTGACAGCCTTTTTGGAGCACCAATAATTTGAAAAAAGAGGATTAAAGTTCCGACCGAACAATTCAAATTTCTAAAATAATATTACTAAAAATTCATTCAAGTCAAGTGAGAGTATTTTCGCATATTCATAACTAAAATATTATTTTAGAAGTACTCTCGGATTTATTCCAGTCAAAACTTCAAAACGACATCTAGTAGCAGTCATTCCATGAAAATAAGGAACTGTGGAATTGGTTCTGAATATGATAGAAAGGGAACAAAAAAAGATGAATATAAACTGCAGAACTTCAAACAATAAAAACGTAAATAAGAGAATTTTCATAATTAATAAGGCTAATGATTGGCTCACTCGAAATCCAGTACTGCCTAATTCTACGAGCGTTCCGGGTTGAAAGCGATCGCAGGGATCCACTGGTTCTCTACAGGTTACGTCTTTCCCAAATAAATTACCCATGGTAAGATCCAAAATACGATGAATTATTTTACTCATTATATCATATTTTTAAAAAACATTTGTTAAAAAAAATCTTCTTCAAATAATTGCTCAATTTGTCATCTATTTTGTTTTTAATTTGTCAAAATGCATATTTGAAAAAACATTGTAAAACAGCGCCATCTTTGAATTTTTTTAGTTCTTTTCCTCTCCGTTCCGACATTTTGAACCATCCATCGGTCGTTGCATGTGTGCTCGTCACTTATATCTCGTCTTTGATTGACTGAACGCTTTTCCACAAATCTGTGTTTTCCATGCATTGAAAAAGACTAACAATTAAATCTTAGGGGATTGCTTGTTTAGCATAAGTGCAGATATGACTGCTCTGGTTTCTTCAACATCAGTTGAATTGAGTTCCTATAGAGATCAACATTTCAAGGTACACAAATTTTTGCAAGATAACCTATTGCTGTGAAACAAACTGGACTTCTAAACTTTCACCACAAAATAAATATATCTACATAATTAAAAATTAACTTTTTATATAAATAATCCTTCAGGGTTCCCGTGCTGAACAAGACAGGCTGCTTCGAAATTCCACAACCCTTTACGTAGGGAATCTTTCATTTTTCACTACCGAGGAACAGATCTACGAATTATTTTCAAAGTGCGGTGATATCAAAAGAATTGTCATGGGTTTAGATAAATATAAAAAGACACCTTGTGGCTTCTGTTTCCTCGAGTATTATGTGAGAATCGATGCTGAAAATTGTATGAGGTATATTAATGGTACGAGGCTCGACGACAGAATAATTCGAACTGATTGGGATGCTGGATTTATCGAAGGGAGACAGTATGGACGAGGAAAAACTGGTGGACAAGTAAGTTCAATAGTTTTTATTGAAAGATCATAAATAGTTGGCAATTGAACAGTAAAAACTTTTCAAGTGTATTCAGTACATGAAGAAATTTACACTCATTTCTTTGTGAAGAAGTAAAATCATTCAACTTAACTTGACTCTTAGTTCAACTGTCGATGAATATCTCTAAATATTTCCATTATAAGAGGAGTTCTACGCAAAATCCGAAGTCCAAAAAATTCGGTTTGGGATTAGCTTACCATTTTTTTTTTGAAAAGTTGAGCATGAGACGAGTATTTTGTGAAAAAATTAATTGAAAAATTATATTTTCATTAAGAAGTTATAATTTTTTGAAAATTTCTAGTTTTTTTTTCGATGAAATGTTTTTCTTTTCACATTAACATCAATATTCTAACCCGCTTTAGAGCGATCAAACGTTTCTTCAACACACTGACCAAGATATGTTTAACAAATCTTCAAAATGAAACGTTACTCGCTGCATTTGCTTCAGTTTGACGGGGTTTATGCGCTAAAACGTGTTCTTTCACCTTCCCGACCCAGATGGGGTCAATTATTGTAATGACCGCAAAAATCAAATTACGAAATTTCATGATCCCGACCGTTTTTGAGATCAGTTTCTATGTGTGGATGTGTTCTATGAACATACACACACATTTTGTAACCAAAATTTTGTGCTCTAATTTCTCTCTAACTATGCGGTTCAATTTTTTTAGGAATCAATGCATCTTCATGGAATTAAGAACTGATTTTTTAATTACATTTCATGTCTTCATGTAAAGTACTTATGATGAAATTTTAGAAGAGAATAACTCTGCGGTTCCTTAGCTGTTTCATGAATTAACAAAACATTCAGATTACGTTTTTTCATAAATCAGATGATTTCTTCCTGCGAAATAATGTGATTTTTTTTTTTTTTATTTACTCAAAAATTTCGGAAAGCAGGGCCCCAGAAGTTTATCAGTTATTCAATTATAAATAGCTGCATTGGAAGGTTTATGCAGCAGTCAATAAAGTAGAATATTGTCTTAATTTTGCATGATCCATGCTCTTGTCTTTCGCAATAAGCAGAAGAAAAATTGGTCGGGAAGTTATGGTGTGGACCGTAATGGGCCACATCGGCTTCAATCCATCCTTACCGGTCGCAACCCAACCCGACCCCTGTTTTGTTTTTCCAATTGTGATTCATTCATAAAATAACGAATATTTTCGCGTTAATTAAGGCCTGGCCTGCACGGCTGGTATAGGCCTTCCAGTGGAACCTTTTCTCTTTGTTTTCAGGGGTGGGAAACAGCGATACAAGTGGAAGGAAAAACTTATACTGGAAGACTTATAACTATTTTTGTGAGTTTATCCCCCCCCCCCCCCNCAAAATTTGCACGGTCTGCAACAGCGAAAATGTCACAATGTGATAATTCACCAGGGCCGTATGGGTCTCCGAAGTCAGGGTACCTAATTCCCTCCCCCACCCCAAAGAAAGATTTGGACACTCTTTAACCCCCCTTCATGGTCGAGAGGGTTACCCCGTTGACAATGAAAGAGGGTTGAGGGGAACGGGTGGATATATTCCATCCTCAAAGACTTTTTTGGTGTTCATTTTTCAAGTACACCCTTTCATTTGTGAAGGGATGAATGGAGAAAGGGTAAATATATTAAATGCCCGAACACTTTTTTCGAAGTCGTTTTTCAAGTTCACCCTTTGATTTGTGAGGGGGTTCATGGGAAAGAGATGTATATATTTCATCTCCGAAAACTTTTTTCCCTTTTTCTGGAATATATTTTTCAAATGCACCCTTTCATTCGCGAAGGGATTGATGCGGAAACGGTGAATATATTTCATCCCGAAAAAAATATAATTTTTTTGAGAACAGATTTATCAAATACGCCCTTTGATTTGTGACGGGGTTCATGGGGAAGGAATGAATATATTTCATTCCCAAAAAAATTTTTTTTCTAAATATATTCTTTCATTTTCGAGGGGGTTCACGAGGAAAGGGTGAGTATATTTTATGATGAAAAACTTTTGTCTTGAGTCATTTTTCAAATACAGACTTTGATTTGTACGGGGGTTCGTGGGGAAGAGGTAAATATGGGTTGAGGTCACGGCGCCCAGATTGTCAGCTTCAGAATGATACAAACATACGAAAAAAAAAATCCCTATCATCTAAATTGTTATGTCCTCCCAGATGTCACTAGGAAAACAGCACCAAGTTTTGAATCGGCGAAAAAAAAGGAAGGCAGGAACGTTTTACAGCTGAAGCCCGGATGGGCAATCCAACGAAGTCCAATTAATAATCCAAAGAATAATTGATGAATCCTCATTCGTGGAAAAATTGGGATAAGGAAATATTTGATATTGAATGAAAAATACTGAGTGCTTCGGGAGAGCACGTAAACTATTTATTTAACTATCAAAACTGTATTAACTTTCACTAGACATTGATTTATATTTTGGAGATCTGCACTCTAAAACCGGACTCGTCGAACTGACTTAACTTATTCAAAACGTCCCTTTCGTGGGTCCTATAACTCCCACTCTTTTCAGATTGCGCACGCATTCTCTCTCTTTCTTATGTTTTAGTGATATCTTAAATGCTAGACTCAAAAAGTGGTGGGGAGGGGCTGGGCAACGTTGTGACGCAGTCAACTGTTGCCAGCCACCCCCATCCACGTTCTAGAATTTGGGACGCACGTGTGACCGGCAGAAAATGACGTTCTTGGGTTTAATACAAAGGATACAAAGGGAGATCTGTTGGGATTAGTCATGGACCTTTCTCGAGAAGTTTACGTCTGAATTTTATGTGTTTATGGCGACGCCAGAAAATCAACAGGCCTGCAATATTTATATTAACTCGGTTTATTTCTTTCGTTTATTTAAACTGTTTATGTTATTTCTCGGATGAATAGAGCTCTGTATTTGAGAGTTGAAATGAGACGTCATTGTCCACCAAAAGAACACGTGCCCAAACTACGCAGTATTGAATTTAATGAAAGAATGGAAATTAAATTATTATCTAATTATTCTGATTAAGGTAATATTCAAATTGACCGCTAGGTGCATACAACGCCACCTAGTTATGAACGGCCAACGACGTTACAAAATTTCTCATTCTCAGAGTTATCAACGAAATTAAAGAGTAATTGCATCTTCGGCTGACACTTTGAATTTGGCGATCTAATTTTTTTGCATGAGTCTTTAGATTTTTATTAGATTTTTTTTTCTCAAACCTTAATAATACATCGAAAAATAATCGGTTACATCGATATAATTGCAATTGCGGAATTTAGATCCAATTTTTTTTTTGTAGCTGAGGTGATCTAGACCTACGATTATTAGTATGCCATTTTTAGATATTGTAATAATATTATAACCAACTATTATATTTCTCCTCTAAAGCGTGCGATATACTGCACCCACGAATGAATATTATGTTAAACATTTGGATACGAAATATTCTAGACAGCAGTCTGAATTAAGGCCTCCAATTGAGAATCGCTTTAATTTACCTTTGGAAGTATGATTACTCATGATGAACGAGTAGACTCTCACTTGTAGTTACAATCAAAAAATAGAATGACTATGAGGTAATTAATAGTAGCTCGAGTATGGCGGCGAGACAACAGGGGTATTTTATGGTTTTACTAGCGCCTTTTATAATGCCTTTTCTCGTGTTTTTCCTTGTGAGTTTTTCACAAATTAACGAATCATCATTGTCTTCTTATACTGAGTATGAAGATTAATGGAAACAATACTTCACGGTTCAACACCTCTTCAATTGCAATAAGTAATTTACTAACTCTATATTCACTGAATGAGCTTCTAACTATAATCATAATCGAAGTTCCATTCAGAGTGCAAAACAATAATTATTAAATTTCTCAAAACGTCGAATTTTTTAGCCTTCGCCACCCTCTTGACTCCACTTTATTTCTTCACAAACGCAATCGATAATTTTGTTGGAAAAATTACATGATTGATTCTGATGCTTTTTTGCTAATTCGGAGTATCTTCTGCTCATCCATGATCTTTTTCACAATTTTATTCAACGATGCAATTTTTTCAAATTCTCCATAAAATCCCGAAAGGCTTGTGCATTTTTTTTAAACTTCGAAATTTTTGGGAAATTGTTGAGAAAATCCAAGAAATTTCACATTCAATATTGATTTTTTCAATTGATTGTTCATAATCATTTCCATTGCAAAAAGCAGTCTTGCTACTTATTGACTCCTTCCTGATCTCTTTGAAATTGAATATTTAGTAAGTACCTGTATATATGTGAAAATGATGAAAATCACTATTATGTATAAGCATCGACATTGAAGATGTACCCATAATTGTATGTAATAATTCGCATGTTTTTTGCAATTTATTACATTTTTTTTTCCATATAGCGAAATGACCCATGAGATTCAAATGCTCTAAATTAAAAATAATTGTAAGAAGCAATGTGACTAACGAAAATGATATGTCCCAATTTATTAGCTGTTAAATTTTTGTATGAATTACATGCGTATATGTGCTAATTCCTATGCTCATTGAATGAGATTTTAATCATGATTAGAATTCAACTTCTTCTCAAGCATTATTTAGAGAATCAATTGTCGGAATTCAATGCTTGTTGATACTCGGGTAAGAGTGCGTGCCAACACTGTTATAGATTTTTTAAATGAGTTTACTTCACTTCAGTTCGTACCATCAACGTAATTGGTTGCTTAGAATGTTGTCACTTTATTTTTTTGTGAAACTGAAATTCATATTAATGTTATAAATTCATATTAAATTTTCTGAAAAATCCCGAATTATTATACATTTGCAAAAACAACTGACAATTCTCTAATTTTTTAGGAAACCTGTGAACTTTCTTGAAATGCCTATAATTTATCTCCTATTCATCCTTTTAGAGATAAATTTTGTAAAGGATTTAAAACACACAGTGATTAATGTCCAAAAATCTTCTCTTAATGAGCGCCCAGAAATAGGACCTACTTTGAAATTTTCACAT